TATACAGTTCGTAAACATTAAAAAATTCTTATTTGAAAGCTTATTGGCTTTAAATTTATTTCGATGATAATTATTATTACTTATTCATATCCAAGATACTTATTATATAAGTAATTATTATTTATAAAATAGTAACAAATGTGATGGTAAAAGTGTCGCGTAATAGAAAAATATCACCGCTTAAATCAATTCAGATTTTATAATGGTTAATAACGACTTTAAAACGTACATATAAAAAAGCTTAATTTCTCTTTAATTGAATAATCGAGAACGTCATTTCATTTTAAAGCCACGGCGCGTTTTAATTTCACTTCATTGAAAGAATTATCTATTACTTAATTGAAAAGCTAAATAATTCGTTTCACTGAACTACAAAATACGCGAATCATATTAATAAATGTTGAATAGCGAGAAAGGGACAATGTCCCATCCAAATAAGAATCTTTGCTCATAGCACAAATCAGTAGGAAATAAAACTTTCCGATACCAAAGAAGTCTCCCCTTCAAGTTAAACATGTTATCCTCATCATCGCGACGCGATACCTATTTTACATTTTTTATTATTTTGCATAATCGACATTGATCGATGATTTTTTCAAATAACGCGAAAACTCACGTGAGATTGTGTATTGAACAATGAGCCCCTCGTCCTCCTCATCCTCCTCTTCCTTCTCCTCCTCCTCCTCGACCTCACCCTTCCACTTAGAGCAGATCAACAAAAAATGAAAAAAAAAAAAAAAAAAGGAAAGGAGAGAGAAATTTGTACGACTTGAGAGATTTGGTGAAACGGGCCAGGAGACGAATGCTAAGAAACGCTAAATGAATTCGAGACGATACCCCAGCGAATAACGAGACGTTGGGAAAGGGAGAGAAGGAGGTAGACGCCCGATGGCCAAAAATATTGTTCTCGTCGAATGTGCCCGGGTCCTCCCGTAACTTTCTCAGGCTGCTTCATTAAGTACGCTGCATCCGATTGTTACGGTGCAGCACGCACGGCTTCGAGATAAAAGCATGAATAGATAATGCGTATATAAGACGTCTATATGTTTCGCGGAAAAAATAAAGCAGGATGAGATTCCCTTGATGCTTGTAGTCCCTCCTCCTCTTTGTCGTGATCGTCGTCGTCGTCCTCGTCGTCGTCGTCGTCGTCGTCGTCGTCGTCGTCGTCGTCGTCGTCGTCGTCGTCGTCGTCGTCGTCGTCGTCGTCGTCGTCGTCGTCGTCGTCGTCGTCGTCGTCGTCGTCGTCGTCGTCGTCGTCGTCGTCGTCGTCGTCGTCGTCGTCGTCGTCGTCGTCGTCGTCGTCGTCGTCGTCGTCGTCGTCGTCGTCGTCGTCGTCGTCGTCGTCGTCGTAGTCGTCGTCGTCGTCGTAGTCGTCGTCGTCGTAGTCGTCGTCGTCGTCGTAGTCGTCGTCGTCGTAGCCGTCTTCACAGTCGTCGTCATCGTTGTCGTTGTCGTTGTCGTTGTTGGCGTGTCGTCGCTCGAGCCAGGGTGAATCATGGCTTAGTCGTTGCCGCGTTATCGCCAGTATCTACGGTTCCACACGGCTTGGCATCTGCAACAAGCGACGCAACATTTACATCACGTGGCTCGCCAAGCCAGAAAATCTTATTTTCAACGATAAAGACAGACGAAGGCGATAATGTACCTTGGAAGCCGCTCTGCTGAAGGAGTGCTACGGCCTCGGCGTAGGTGGGAGGTGGCAATTCGCTCGGGCCTTGACTTTGAGCGATGACTTCGTAAGGGGGTGGCCCAGGTGTCCCGGTGCCCGATGAGCTCATCGCCTGGCCGCCGCTGAACTCCTGTAGGCGCTACGAACAAAGCGGTGCCAGAGGCTTTGTTAGTACCTACGTTTACGGGTTCTTTCGTTTATCGCTAGTCATAATGAAAGAAGGGAGGCGTGAAATATATACGATTTTAACATTTGTTCTAAATCCAATTTGAGAACGATGGCCTCGCACCGCCCGCGCGCTCCGCCACATCTTCTGCAAGGCTGGACTTTAAGAGTGTAAAAATAAATGACAAAACATAAATGAGGCTTTCAGGCAAAAAGTGCACGATACGCGCGACATCCTGAATTTCCCATATGTTTCGTCAATTCCTCGTGCGATGTTGAAAAATAAACGATGCATCTTTAACTTTTTAACTTTATTGTCATTTATTGTCAAAATACGAGTAAGAGTAATTTAGGGAATAATTTTTGTCATCACATGGCAGCTTTTTCACCGTAAACATTCAATTTCGTCGATTTCGTCAATTTTGCATACTTTGTTCATTTATTTTGTGAGATATATCGACTGGACGAGTAGGTGAGGATGCTACGCCCTGCTTAGCCGATTCTTAGAATTAGATATTTTTTACAAGTGCATTCAATTTAAGTTAATGTAAGAACGCGGTGATGCAACATATTGCCATTTTAAAGCTTAATATGAAAGCGGCGATTAAAATTAAAATTACTATTTGCAATGTTACGATTACTAAGTGCACGGCTACCATTACAAAACACGTCCACTAAGCTGTTTTTTTTTTTTTTTTTTTTTTTTTTTTTTTTTTTTTTAAGAGAAACAAATTACGGAGGCAGTAATTTGTACAATCACTCGCATCGATAAACTTAATCCGTAAGCTCGAAATTAAAGCAAAAAATTTAACCTAACATGCATTCGTTGTCTGTGCCAAGTCGGTTTTACCAAGAACATTCGATCTGAATCATTCAATAAGATTAAACGATAAGATTCAACATTGATGAAAATAAAATTATACTTCAAAGCAATTGATACAAATCTTTTTCTACCTTAGAAAAGAAGTGGGGATAAATTTGAAAATTATCAATAAGATTAAGAATTAAATAGGCCAAGCGACGAATTTTCAACGCTTACAAAAAAAATTTCAATCATAAAATTAAAATAAATCCGATGGTTCAATCTCGTACAATAAATTCGATAATTTTTTACCTTTTTCCAACTAATCTTAAAGTGATAAGCACATTTTTCTAGCAATTGTATATTTTCAAATAGCTTGCTTAATTTAAAATGACATAAGTGCATTCTACAGTCAAGTTATTAAAATTTGATTTAATAATAAACATTTGAAATATCATTCACTTAAATAATTTCCCAACGCTAAAACATCGTGATTTTATTAAATTATCGGCGAACCAACTTTCAATAATTCAAAAAAATATCTAAATTTTCCTTTACAATTAATTCCTTTAAGGCTTTTATCAATATTTTGAATGATATTTTCACTATCAAATCTCCTTTTCCTTCAATTATATCAATTAAATAATAACAATTATTCTTATCAAATTTCATATTAAATTTAAAAAGTTTTTTCTGATCTGCCATAAATTTATCCATTTCCAGAAACATAAGTAAAATTCATGTTTTAAATATACGCAATAATGCAAGCTAAAACAGAAGCTTAAAATAATAAAAAAAATTTATAATCTTCAATTTCATTTAGCAAACTCAACAAGTGTCACAATCAATGGTATTTTACATATCGTTTATTTCGTATAATTTTTATAAAAGTGTATTAAAAATTTGAAAAATAATATTTAATTTTTTTTTATATTGTTTCTTTTAATTAATATACTTTAGTATGTACTATTTATATTATTATCACTGTTAATTATCTTGTGAAATTTTTGTGAAATTTTCAAAATTTGCACATCAAATATTTCATCTTCATTCTTATAGACAAATTGCGTAAAGCTAGAACTATATATATTATGCAAGAAATCTGAAATAACAAAACTCTTTATTTTTAAAAGAATGACATTAAATTATTTTCCAATTTTTTTGTTTTCTTCCTTTTTATAAAAATTATTTTAAAGTATTTGAAACGTTATTCAAGACGATATTTAAGACGTCATCTACGTTAATCGAACATTAAATAAACTTAACGAGCACCTTTATGCATATGAGAAAAATTATATGTGGATCCATTTTATAAGTACGTACGTAATAAAAAATTACATAAATATTGTACATAAAAGAATATACGTTGTATAAACCTTACTCTAATGTCAGGTAATACGTAAGAATTTATTTTTAAATCTTTTTGAAGTAATTCTTTGTAAAATTATTATCGTTAAAGCTTACTTCAGTGGCATTAAATATGAATAATACGTATGGAAAGCAAAGTTATGAAACATAAAATTAGGTGAACGTAATCTCGAAGCATCTAAATTTACTTTTATAGTCTTGTTGACAAGTTTGTAAATTAATTACAATACCATATTTATACGTTTAAAAGTTTATATATCGTTGATAATTATTTTTTGTAATATAATGAATTCAATATAAAGTAAAGCTATAATATATGAAAGCTCATTATAAATCAATAGGACAAGTATCGATAAAACTAAAAATTTTTAACAAAATAAAATTACTTCTTTTAATATACTTAACTCAGTCAAATTTTATAATTATAATTAATTAAAAATATTTTATATAAACTTTTCCATAAACCATAAAATCATTGTATATTATTTAAATAATTTAATGATGTTTTAATAAGTCCTACAGCAATAATAATACACATTTAATTGAACTTGTCGATAGAGATAAAATGAAATCGCTCGATTTTAAACTTATTAAAGCACTATAATAATAATGACCGCATTATTCGTTTATAATTTACAATTAAAATAATGAAGAAAATGCATTTAGATATAAAACTTATTATCGATAGCAGTATTTGTTATAAAAATTATTCTCTATGAAAGCGACTGATAGCTAGATTTATTGTAATTATCTGTTGGGATGCTTTAAAAATACCAATTAAAATGTTTTATATGATAATCTTTCAAACCTTGTTAAATGTAACACATACACATACATAAAAAGAAATTGCTTTTTTTTTTTTAATTTTATAACAAGCTAGCTATGTGTTCATGAAAACTACGTTGAAACTTTTATACAAAAATAATTGCGTAATTACCAAATATAACAATATTTTTTATGTTTTTGCTACTGGCAATATTTAATTTTTATATTTTTAGACTTTTGGAATTATAAGTAAAACAAAAAAAATGAAAAACTTACTGAAGCACAACCGCAATAATTTAATATATACATTAAAACTAATGATCATCAAAAAAAAAAAAAAAAAAAAAAAAAAAAAAAAAAGATCATCAAAAAAAAAAAAAAAAAAAAAAAAAAAAATAATATAACAATTTACTTTTAAATTTACTATTTTCATGTCTAAATTTAATTATTATTAAATATTAAATTGTAAGAAGATTCTTTATATTTTCAGCGACTGTGTACATAATTAAAAATTGAACACTCATTGAATTTAATATAAAATATATTTAATATAAAGTATATTAAAACGACAAGTTACATTACTTTACTTTAACGTTTATTATAAATATTCATAAAATGTAATGTACCAAAGATATATATGTGTATAATATAAACAACTTTATAATAAAACATGCAAATATTTTTTTGGTTTTTAATAGTTTTATAAAATAAATTGTTCAATCATTTATTTATAGGTAAGTAAAAATTATAAATAACGACTTGTATATAACAGCTGATTGTTAGAAAAAAATTTTGAAAAAGTTTTAACTGAATTTTACAATTCCCCGAATATACTTCTAAATTAAAAACTATTTTTGTAATAGTTTAAACAATTATTGTATCAAATATTAAAGTCGAAATATAATAATTAAATAAGAATTTCATATTATAATTATAAATTGATTATAATCTTGATTTATTCATGTTTTTAAATGATGGTATAAATTGATTGAAATAAAATAGAATTGCAACTAAAAATTAATCTCCTATTCACAATTTAATAACTTCAATATAAACTGCATATTTTATATGATTAATTTGTATATTAAATAATTAATAATTAATAACATAATTAATAATTAATAATTAATAACATAACGATTAATTTGTAAATTCAACGATTTCTTATATTTGTCAATGGTTTTATAAAACACATGATACATTTTATTGAAATTATTCAATCGTTAATTTTAACATATAAAATAAGCTACTCACAATAGTTAACAATTTTATCAATCTGCACAATTACAATATTAGTTGTTTTTTTTTAATTATAAACATGACTCAAGGAATATGCTCTACATTAATAATATGAATCATATACTGAGTTAGTAAAACAAAATATGTTTTAAATTTCTTTAAATATTTGGTAATATTACATTCATAATTAATTAATAATCTATAACATGTGTCTATTTAATATGTAACAAATTAAATAGAAATTATTTCAAAATAATGTTTATCGATAATACATTTCATTAATTTTCAATATTCTCATTATCTCTTTTGACAATGTTCAATATTCATTATGTAATTGCTTTAAAGAATTAATTTCATCGAACTATGTATGAAATTATTAAAATCTCAATTTTATTTCCATCTTTTTCCTTTACAGTAACGATATGATTGATCTATGAATAATAGATCTTTGAGGTTGTAAATTTTTTAAAATTAAATATACTTTAATATCGAATTAATATTAATCACACCTATTCCCATCTGAATGAATAAAAAAATATTTTACAAATAAACGATACATATTATTGTACTTCGTAATTTGAACAAAGTATGCTTTTATTAAAGATAAAAAAAAAAAGTATGTGTTCTCACCCTGAAAAGCTGACGTTGATGGAAAATCATTTGTATGACTGATTTTCTTCTGAGATAAAGCATACACTTAACAGCGACCATGAGGCCAGAACATATGAAAATGGGTCCAACTAGCCACATGTGTCCAAGATGCGAAAATAAATGATCATCGACGACATCTCCCAAGGCTAAAATGGTAATTGCAGTGCCAATTGTAAACAGTACAATGCTCAATGCAAGGTAACTGTAGCTAGTGCAGTCACACCTTCCAAACGTAGTGGGTTCTTCGTATCGCTCTTCTATTTGACGAAGTCTGTTTGAAAGGAAAGGACTTTCGAAAACAGTAGCCATATTTTATTCAAAGTGCAGATATTTATGACATTTCTTCTTGATCGGCATACGACATTCACTACTATTCTTTACCTTTAACTGTCGCGAGTACCTCCTAAAAAATAAAAAATTAAAAATGGTCCGAATGGATGAACGTGGCGAACTAAATGAAAAAAGTAATGGAAAAAGTGAGAGATAAAATAGCAAATCAACTTAGATGGTAGGAAGAAAAACAAACAAGAACTGGTTGCATATAATCATTTTTTTAAATAAAAAAAAAAAAAAAATTCTTATACTTATGCTTTCATTCCTTTACAACCTGAACAATTCTTTAACGATTTTAATAAATACAAAAATAATAGAACGAAAGAGGCAAACGTATATTAATTTTTTGAAAAAATGTGCATAAAATTAATGTCTTTAATGTTTATTCAACGTTTTGTAACAATCTGCCAATGTACATTCTGTTTTCAAAAATTAATTTAATAAAAATAAATGATAATGAAATATAGGATTTGGAACTATGGAGCTCGTAGAAGCGAATCGCAACGATCTACAAAAATGTTCCATCGAATTCAGTTCAAATGCCTACATGCCTACTACACACACTTTATTCCACCCTCACATATGCGTTTAAAAACGTACGTCGTGCTGTAACGGACAACTTCTTATCCAAAAATGGTAACAATAAAAATTCGCATTTAATAATATGCGTTCTCGAGTACTTACTTTTCTGCAGTATCTGGCGACTTTGGAAAGCTCGATCCAGGAGACGACGTCGATGTACAGTAACGAGCGGTGATCGATCGTCCGCCCACGAATAATCGAGGACGAGCAACGGAGGAGCATCCTCGTGAATGCCACGAGAGTGAAAAAAAGCCTCCAATTATTCACAATTCCTTTTCCTCCCGAAAATATCTTCGCCTTCGTTTTTTTTTTTCTTCTCAACTTAGTTTCCTAGGACTTTGCGAGGTCTCCAATCGTAAAAGTCTAGTATCTCTTTCTTTCTCTCTTTCACATAACTAGTCAATCTAGCAGTGTGCAGTCGGACGTAAATCGTAAATATCCCTTGGGTGTGCGCGCGTGTGTGTGAACTTCTTGCACGCAGTATGGAACGTTGGATTATTATTATATGTGCGACCGCGCGCGTTCTCAACGTCGCGATGACTTTGGAAAGAGAGCGAAAGAAAAAAATATTTAGCTCTTCAGGTTATGCGAATTTTTACTTTACGCGCAGCGTCGTACGTTATACATTTTATCCTTATTAATAAGTAAGGATTGGGAGTAGAGGCCGAATTACATTAATAAATGCACTTGCGTGTCTTGGATATATTCGCACTTGAAGATAAATCTTAAATAAGAATGTTAAATCGATATTTCAGCTGATAAACGGCGTACTACCTATTCCCGGCTCTTAACAAACGCAAAATTCTGTCAAACGCGTGTCCATTATATTTTTATGCAAAATTACTAATCGCGCTTCTTAAAGGCTTCTTATGTCAAAGTGGAATTAATATCGTGCACGGACGGATATATTGGGAGTAAAATTAAATGAGAATTTGAGCTTTAAACGCATTGCGAATCAGCATTCAACACATAATTACCATACGAGGGTATGCAAAATTATTTTTTATAGAGATATATGTTTATATTCGTATATCGATGAATCGAAGGAACTTTTTAAATTGCCGACAATATGATAAAACAAGTGCTTTGATTGTCTTTAGAAATTAAATGCAATTTTTTGTGCGTCATGACTTTACAGTTAAACAATTTTTTTTTTTTTTTTTTTTTTTTTTTTTTTTTTTTGTTATGTTTTGTTTTGTTTTGTATAAAGAATCGCGTCAAACTGTTTATGTACGAGTAAAGCTTAGGTCCGATAACTCGAAGAAATAAAATACGTCTACGTTAGATTTTTTCTAGCTGCAATTTATGAATTGCGTTTGCGTAAGTATCAACGTTATAATTCTCCTTCCGTTTAGCCAAATGAATTTCGTATAAACATTTATTGAACACGAAATTTCATATATTTCATTCTACGAATCCTAAATCTGAAAACCTAAACTCGACATATATCAGGTTAATAAAGTGTAAAGCTGTAAATCAGTCATTTATTAATATTTTTTTATACACCCGATTACCGGGACCTATTAAATCGCCAAGTCTGAATCGTCTGCAACACGTGTGCAAACAGAATTATCAGTTATCTGACCTGGTTTTCATGAATATCATCATTCTTTTCTTGTCCATTTTCATGGTGCAGCTTTAGATCGAATGAATTTTATTATAAAAAAAAAAAAAAAAAAAAAAGTTAACGCAAAACATAAATACTACAACTTTTAATTCTAAAGCCATTTATGAGTAATGAATAATTATCTTAAACGTTTAACTGCACGAGTTTATTCGATTTTTCAGAAATTATTTTAATTGGTAGGTCTGCTTCCAAATTAGTGTATATCGGAAATTTTTATTACATTTTATAGCAAAAGATTGACTATTAGTTTCAATTATTATAATTATACATTCTATGAACAATTACTGCATATTTCATTTACATACTTGTACATCAATCTAAGCACCTTAACCATACCGTCCATTCATCATCTTTCCTCGTCAAATACAAACAAAAGTGACAATAATAAAATAAGTCCGCATCATTACAAGAACATTAATATTAAATGATAAAAATTTTTTTTTTTTTTTTTTTTTTTTTTTTTTTTTTTTCATTTCTATTTTATTTTATTTATTTAGAAAACAGTCGAACGCTATGCGCACGTGCCTGTAACATGCACACCAACGCATTACATAAATTTTACACGCGCGCGCGCGCGCTCTCGCTCACTCAACTTTGAAGCTCAAGCAACCTAACCTAATCTTCTGAAGGTACACTCATGATATATACGATACTCATACAAATGTATTTATCATCGTTTGACAGGAGTGGTTGTGTCGTATTAGAATAGGATTGGTTGTGTTGCATTAGAATATTTTGCCCAGTGTCGCCTTGGGATCGTAATTTGATGTATTGTGCTTTTATACGATTTGTCACATACGTAGGCTCAATAAAGAGGAATAGCCTTCGT